CACGTGCCAAATGAATGAATGCAAAAGGAAGATAGTGTATAAATGCAAATAACATTTATTTTACAATTACTGTAGGATGACTGTTTTTATACATTTTTCTTTATTTAATCATCACAACAACTTGACGAAGTCTTCTTCCTATAGTAGAGAAAAGAAGCTAAAGTACAAAGAGGTTTACCCACTAAAGATCTTCCAGCTCCTAAGCTGGTATTTAAACTCGCATCTCTGACTCTAAAACCCATCCCCTATCTGCCATACCATATTGCCTCTCCTAAGAGCCAGTTTGTTTATTTCAGTACATGAATACTCAGTGTGTTTTCATGTGGCACAACATTTTGACAAGGGTTTAATGTATGACATCTCAGTTGAAAATTGTGAAATTGACTTTATGCACTCCCTCATTTAACTGAGGCTATAGGACGTATAAAGAACAAAAGTTGAAACTAAAAAATGTTTTGGTACTTGAGAATGTGCCTAACATTTTAACATTAATTATCTGGTAGGAGAAACAGACAAGCAAGTAGACAAGTGTAGGATGCATTGTAAGGCTAGGCGGAGTGGAACTGTCTGGCGAGGTGCCTCCCCCAGCTGAGGCTGACTAGCGTCTGAAGGGAGAGTCGCTTTCTGCTAGTCTATTGCTACAGAGCCCAGCTTCCCCGGGACAGCCCCCGAGCAGCATTGCTGGTCCCTTGTGCATAAGCCCTGCACCCACACCAGGAGTCCACTCTGCAACTGCCGGCCACACAGCCGTGGCAGGTTCAGAAACCAGTGGAGCCAGAACCTGGGAATCGGGACTCTGCGGGCAGCGACCTCAGGGATGGTCAGAGCACGGCAGGACAGGCTGGGCATGCGCGTGTGCTGGTGAGGGAGTGCCGGGCCAAGTGTATCCATGGCTGGGGGCTGGCACGGGGCTGTGCAGGAGGAACCTCTCCCCTGGTGTGTAGGAAATCAGCCAGGAAGTCCAAAAGCTCCTGTAAGTTGACATAGGTCTCCATTAGGAATGATATCCCATTACATGTGGTACAGGGCACATACTACATGCGCAAATGGGGTGACCCTGAGTCCAGGTATAAAGACTTCTTTGCTAGTCCTCAAAGGCTACAAAACAATCATGCCTCGGGACCTTTGCACTTGCTTTCCCTCTTCCTGGAGTGCTCTTCCCATAGATGGCATGCTCACTTGTTTCCTTGGTCTCTGCTCATATTGGAAAGGACTTCCCTAGCCACCCAATGCTATGTACTGAAAGCCCAGGGTCCAAAAGGCAGAATGACCAGACAATGGTCGACCAGTCGTTTGATGCTCACTGACCACCAGGGGCCGGACACTCAATGCAGGAGCTGCCCCCTGGTGGTCAGTGTGCTACCATAGTGGGAGCACCACTCAGCTGACCGGGATGAGTGGTGCTCCCATAGCAAGCTGATCCCCGCAGGCCACACTTCCTTCCCTCTTCCTCCCCACCCCACCCGCTTCCCTCTAGTTCATGAGTCCTATGCACCTGGCCACTAATATAAAATAACAGACCTTGACCCCTCTCTCCAGCTTTCTTACCCTGCTTTATTTTTCTCCATAGTCCATATCTGACTTTTTTTTTTTTTCCTGGTCAGCTGTCCTGTATGGTTCATTAGGACAGAAGTCTTATTTTGTCCACTAAAGTTTAGCACATATTAGGTACTATCTAGCACACAGTAGGTTCTCAAAAATTATTTCTTAAATGAATGAGTAAATTTTCTTCATATGCAGCTGACATGTAATGCACAGCCCTGGCATACATATGTAGTTTGTGACATATAGTATTATTGAATAGAGTAATACAATTTTGATGTGATTCCTTTGTTAGAAGAGTAGAATCTTACAGAGGTTATCAAATTCTAGCATCCCACCCTGGGTGGTACTCACGCCCTCTCCCACATGCCTGACTCTCAGGCTGTATTTGAATTCTAAAGGGCGGGCAGCTCACTAGTTCACAAGGTGGTCTGTTAGTGTATTACATCAAAATTGCCTGCACGCACTTGAACCTGTTCCCCTGAATGCCAGCTCTCTCGGAGCAGGAAGCTTGCATGTCTTACACAGAGCCCAGCCTAGAGTGGGTGCCCCAAACCATGCTGCTGAAAGGAATGAATAAAAATTCATATGTTTTTGGAAAAAAGAAAATAAAGAAAAATATTTTAATTTTCTTACTTTTAATTTGGTGCTAATTCAGGTGTAGCAATCATAAAAAGATGCATTTTCACATTAATGTGTATATGTGTGGAATCTCAGGATTTTGCTTGTATGATGTCAAGCACGACAGTGCCCTGTGGGGAGCAGAGCCAGGGACTCGTTCAGGGACGGAACCCTGGTGGCCTGCACAGCCCCGCTCACAGGCCTGTACCCTCCCCACCCTGTACCCTCCCCACCAGCATCTGTTCCCGTCCGCAGAGCAGCACACATTCTGCCACTATCACTCTGTGTTTAAAATCCTTCGACGGCTCTCCATTATCTCCGACAGCATAAAACCTAAACGTAGCCTGGTATACACGCCTTTCTCAGTCCACCCTCTGCTCACCCAACACCTTCAGCATCTGCCGTCCCCCTTTGATCCCCAGGGCTGGCCACCAGGAACCTCTTTGGTTGTGACCACAGGTTTACCCTGCTGCCCCGCCTGCCTTTGTACTTGCCCCTCCTCCCCAGCCCCTCCTGGTGCTGACACCTGGCGGGGACACAAGTGGTTCTGTTCTCTAATTTTTTGAAAGTGCACCTAACATTCTGCTCCCCCTTTCTTGTAGCACATGTCGTCTCAGAGAATGAGGTGTAGGCTCTTCCCCGGCTCCTTTCTCTGGCACTCGGAGACGTGCCAATTTACTCCTCCTCCTCCTTCATCCCTACAGGGTGCCCAGTAGTAATGAAGCATGATGCCTCCCACTGGTGTGTCTTGTGCTCCCAGCACCCTGCTGGAGGCCTGTCAGACCTCCTCTCAGACCTGAAAAGGAGCCTGGCCAGATTAGGGTGACGGCCAGGTTGCAGAAATCAGGAAATGGAGGCTCAGGGAAGTGAAGTGGCCCTGCCAGGCACCAAGCCAGTGACCGGCTGTCACCCGGCAAACCCAGGTCTGCCGAGAGCAGAGCCCCAGTCTGTTCCCTGCTGCCCAGCCGGGGGGCTCGGTCACTGTGCATGTGAAGAAAATGCCAGACTTCCAGCACAGAATCGCACTTCCTGTAGTCCTACCTTTTTATGACTCTAAGTGCAGCAGCTGTCATAAATCTTAATCAAGAAAATATTTATTTGCTGTGCGCAGATTCTAACACGCACACCACACAATCGGTGGCCGGTGGGCCCTGTAACTTTGGAAAAGCTGAACACCAGATTAGTCACTCAGCCCTGGTTACTTAGGATGCAGCTCAAGGAACAAGTAACTCTTGTAGTATTAATGCATAATCTGGGTTCTCTTCCCCCCCACCCCCATCACCACCACACACACACTAGACAGGCAGCATTTTTGAAGTGTCTTTAAGTCCAAGGTTCACTTGGCACTTCTATCGGACTCCAGTCGCTCACCGTAAAGTGAGCGATGAGATTTCATTTTATTCCAAATGTGAAGAGAACGCCGGTCCTTTGAGCATCATTCCATGGTCGTTGTAAAAGCTGCTGGCTATTCCCCTGATGGTATTAAAGTAGGTTGAATAGCTATTAAAAGGAGCTGGAAATGTTAGTGGTACTTTATTTTAAGCATAAGAACATTTCTCATTATGGAATCATTTATGCCTTCCAGATGGGTTTTTTGTTGTTGTTTTTGTGGGTTTTTTTTTTTTTTTGTCTTTTTCATATAATGATGGTATATTTGCTAAAGTAAACTTCCAGTTTTTTGCCAAGAAAATCTTCAGCACAGGTTAAGTGCTACTTGAGACCTATGTTAGTGGGTAAACACTTCTGTTTATAATTTTATGAAAGAGAGGAGAGGGACACTGTTTGGGCTTGCAAGATACCCAAAGATCAGGGTAAAAAAAAATAAAAAGAATTCATTTCAGTGCAATTTTCAGGACATAAAATCACTTAGCTGAAATAGCAGCCTCTCGGGGAGGGTGTCCCTTCCCCCAGATATCCCAGCCTGGTACAGTTGCTTTCCAGTAAGCAGAGCCAAGGGTAGCCGAGTACTCAATACTCAGAGTAGATTAATAGAAGGAAAACAAGTAGCAGTTACATATTTGTCAGCTATAAATTATGCATCATCGCTGACTTGGCCAACTCTTGGCTTTTTGCTAAAATAAAAAAATAAAAAAAGTTGTGCTCCCTGAATAATTCTGGCTCCTTTCCAGAGTCCATATTCCTCGCTGCTTGCTGAGATAAGGTGCCAAACCTCTGTGCTGTTTGCCTTTGCGCAACGATTCTTTACTACCCAGAGCGCCTCCATAAATAGTCTGCCCTCCTCACACCCGCAGAGAAAACAGCCGCAGGAAACCTGGGGATTTGCTTGTCGCGGGCCCGCTGACCTGATCTGAGCCTGCGGGGCGGGCCGTGTCCACAGCCTGGCTGCCCCCCGGCCTCTGGGGACTGCTGACCCCCAGGGGCAGAGAAGCCTGCCGGCAGAAGCCACCATGCAGCTCCCACAGCCTTTGCAGCTGCTGCGGTAGGGGGTGATTGTTTACAGTCTGCAGAGCCGTGCTGCTTTAAGGAAACACAAACTCCTCACCCTGGTTTCTGGCCCCAATCCGTGATCCTCCAGACAGACAGCCTTGCCTGCAGTTGTCAGGAGGAGCAGCCCCGGGAGAGGAGCTCGTCTCTCCCGCAGAAGAAAAGTTGCAGGAGCGCAGGCAGGTGGACGGCTGCTTTGTGCTCGCGAGGGACCGGCTAACACCCCCAGGGGCACCCGGCTGTGATGTTGGTCTCTGCGCCAGGTGCCTCGGCGGCGGCAGCAGCAGCCGTGGCCCGGGAGGTTCCCTCCGGACCCAGGGGGATGGCTGCAGCGGGCGTTGCTGGGTCGTGGTGAGCCGAAGGGACTGAGGGACGCTGTGTTGTTGTTGCAGAGCCCCGCCATGAAGATCCAGGAGCACCCCAGCATCCCCGACACCAAGCTGCAGAGGGCTCCTGACGCCGGCGCCCCGCAGGACGGCTTCGCCTTGGAAGGGCCCCAGCTGGACCTGACCGCCTTGTGTGAGGACAAGAGCTGGGCAGGTAGGTCGCTGCGGGACGCGTGGGCGATTCAAGGAGGGAAAAGCACATGGAATTAGTGCGCACGGGAGGCTTGTGTGGGTGGGAGGGACAGCGCTGCGTGGAGAAGTGAGTGGCTGCGTGTCTAAAGGACTGGAACATCCTTTTCCTGGCATAGGATGTGTGGGGTTTGGTGCTGCCCAGAGTCGCTGCACTCTCTAAGGAGGAAAATGTGCTTGCCCTTTATCACAGTGTTTTTCTTTCCCGCTCCCCGGGAGTGCTGCTGTGTGGGCGGTCTTCCCTCTGAGAGTCCCACGCAGAGCCCCAAGGAGCCGGTAGGCATTTAGGATTTCATCCCGGGGTCACCCTTTGTCACACACACACACACACACACACACACACACACACACACACACACCGCCCACCCTGCGTGCCAGCCATCGACCTTCTTCATGCAATCTCCTTCCCTCCTGTTCTGCAGGGCTGTTTTGGTTCGCTTTGTTGCGTGTCTGAGCTGGTTATTATAGACGTTTTAAAATCCAGATTAGCAAATCTAAAAATTGATTAGTGTTCCACATTAGAACACTGAATAGAAGCGTTTCTTATTGAATGCCTCTCGTGCAGTGTTTCCGGCGGTTTTCTCTAGAGGTTTTGGGTGAGAACGCTAGGGATGTACTCGTAAGGAAGAAGAGGGTGTCCTCGCTGTGTCAGAGCCATATTTCAGGAAGAATGCTGGCACAGTCCCCAGCTGCAGCTCTCTCTCGCTCTCTATGTGTTCGCACCAAACACAGATGCATGCGTGTCGGGAACAGATGCCCCTCTGCCTCGGAAGGCATGCGTGTGAGGCTGCAGAGGGAGAAGTCAGGCTGCTACGCGCAGGGCAGCACATGCCTTCCCACGGTGACTTAGCAGAGAAGCAGGGCTGTGAGGAAGCGATCTTTTTAAAAGTGCCGGAGTTTCCTTGTTTCTTCTCCTCCTCTCCTTTTTTATTTTATTTCGTTTTTTTTAACCAAAAAGTACTCGTGGTGGTAATGATCTCAGATGAGCTACCCAATGGTGAACTTAAAAAGGCCACAAGGTGAACAATAGCAGTTCCATTATGCTCCTGGCACCCGGGGCTAAATGATATTTTAGTTTTCCCTCTTTTTCAATCTAAGAAACACATTCTAGTTGTTTGCACATAGATAGGCTGTAGGACCGAGATTTCTTGTGAGATCTTCCCAGCTCATGATACATTCACTGGTGGGAAAATTTTGAAATGCAGGATTTCTGTTTTGTTTTTAAGTGATACATTCCTGGTGGTATTTTGTTGTTCTTTTGTTTTGTGTGGTTTGAAATAACCTGGTATGTTTTTAATTCAGACATTATAAACACCACTCTTCTCTCCCCCCACCCTGCCCCCAAATAGTACCATAATAGCCACTTTTGCCCAAATAAAAGAAAAAAGCAGTAGTCAAAACAAATGCTGTATTTGGGTTTCAGTAATATGGTCTCCCCATAACATTAACATAAAGCTCTATTAAGAACTAGTATTTTGCTCAGAATTCAAATTAACCACATTGTCTCGATGATTTACTCAGTAAAGAGGCAGGTAAGTTCTTCCTCTTCCTCCTAAAATCGGCTGTTTGATTATTTCTATCTTGGTTAATCATAAATTTATAATCTCTTCAAACATAGTTTAAGAGGCAAATAAAAAGCTGAAAATGTTCCCCAGAGTGGTTAAAAGTTAACTTACAGTTTCCTCAAAATTATTTCACAACTTAATATTAAGAACTTTGTTCCAAATAAACAATAGTAATATGAAGGCCCCAACATTTTTATTTTGTATTGGAAAACTAAATAAAATAAAGAAAAAGCTTATTGGGGAAAATATATTTTTAATAGGCTTAGGAATGTAAATTGTGTTATTCATTCGTTTATGAGATAACATGCTTTAACTTTTTTAAAAAATCATTTCCTGCATTTGTCATTGAACTTGCATATCTTAAAAATCTACATAGGCTCATTTCAAGGCTGTTTTGACCATTTGGTAACAGCTTTCAGTGGCCATTTTAATCATATATTTATTTTAAATTTCAAGTTATATTATAACGGTAACATAGTTATAAGTACTATAGTAAAGCAAAGGATTTTTTTTCATGAAGTATAGTTAAGATGAGAGCAGTAAGTTCAATCACTAAAATATCATCTTTCTTATAGCTTCAATAAGAAATAAACAAAATGGTGATTTTCCAGTAAGGAATAAACTTTGCACTAATTTTAACCATGAATGTGAAATCAAGACAACAAAATTATGGAAGCGGAAGTAATAGCTACCAAAATCATATAAGCCAATATCCATCCATCAGTCTCCACCACCAGCCTCAAGCCTCCCTTGGAGTAACCCCTGTTTGGTTTGCTTGTTTCCCATCCCCACACCATAACTCACACTCTCTCATCCATGGAGAATTGTAGACTATCAAGGGAGACAGTACTTAATGACCGGCCCATGGCATTAACGAGGGAATAGTATCTAGTATCTCGGATACATTGTACCAGGAAAACAAAAAGTGCAAGGGAACCAATAAATATATTCTATAGGCTACCTGGCGTGGAACCCTCTCAAAGGGAAGGTAGGATCAGAGACTAATCATGGTTGTTAGCAGATAAATAGTATGTACTTTCCCCTCTCCCCATATGCAGCTGTGTATTAGGGCACATTAATTGATCTATCTACATATCATCATCATCACTATTATTATTTCTACTTTCCAAAATTAAGTACATAAATTAAATATAGTATTTTTTGTTGTTATTTAAAGCTCATTAAAGTTGCATAATTAGAATGCTCCTAATCAGCCAGTTCATGTGGATTTGAGGGAATCCATTTGTGAAAGCATTGAAATCTGAATATTCAGCTACTCTATTAGATTTGTGCTGGTGAAATTAATTTTAAAAGAACATTTTTAAAGGGCATAGAATACGCCGTATGTCTTATTCACCACTACTGCTTATCAAAAAAAAACTTTGGAAAGAAAAAACCTGAAAGAATGGTATAAAAGCAGCAAGGGATCTTCAAGACCTTCCAGTTGAACCTTCTCATTATATAGATAAGAAAGTTGAGACCAAAAGAATCAAAATGATGATTCAAGATAACAAAGTCTTCTGACTTCCACTCTGTTCCCTCTTTCTAAGCATTGTATCCTGTCAGTCAGTAGACCATAATGGTGAAGAGACAGGCTTATCCTGGGTTCAAATCCTGGCTCCTCTACTTAACCAGTGTTGTTAGTAAACATGCCTCAGATTTGGCCTAACTCCCCCATCTTTATATACTTATAACAGTCAATAATAATAAATAATAGATATAATAGTATCTACTAAGCAAGTTTGTTCAAGGGTTAAGTGAGCTATTATATGCAAAGTGCTGTGGGCACTTAGAAAGCACTATGTGAATGTTAGCTAATGTCATTACTGTCTTTCATAAACATTTCCAAGTTCAATTTCAGGAAAAAGCAGCTAAACTTTGCCCTCTTTGAAACCAGAGCCCATTTCTACGTAGTAATCATGGATGGCTCTGAACACAGAAGTCAGTAATTACTAGGTCCCTCACAGATTTACCAGGGACAAATCATGTCACACCAACTTCCTTCCTTTCTTCCTTCCTTCCTCCTTTCCTTCCTTCCTTCCTCCTTCCTTCCTCCTTCCTTCCTTCATTTCTTCCTTCCTTCCTTCTTCCTTTCTTCCTTCCTTTCTTCCTTCCTCCTTCCTTCCTTTCTTTTTATTTCTATCTTTTTCTTTCTATCTTCCTTTCTTCCTTTCTTTCCCATCCTTCCTTTTTTTCCTTCTTCTTTCCTTTTTCTGTATTAGGGCAATGGGGCATTTGAAGAGCCTCCATTGGTCCTTTCTTTAACTGGGACTAGTGGCAGCCTTGTCAGAAATGTGGAAGGGACAGAAGACAGTCAGGTATAATAGACAATAAGCAACTGGTAAAGCAACTCTGCTTAAATGTGCAGATGGATGAATCAAAGTCAGTAAGTCCTCAGCCCACACATTCAATAATGACTTAAATGAAGCTATTGCAGGCCTGCTTATTAAATTAGCAAATAGGAGCAATGTAGATATATGAAGTTGAAGAATTAAATTTGGATTGATAAAGTTGATGACTAAGGTTCCTTTTAACTCTGATAGTTTGCTAGATTGTTTGAACTATTAAATAGAATTACCAATGTTCGAAGATTAAATTCTGAAATGCCAAGGAAAACTTTACAAAAAAATTCCCCCAGGAAAGATCCCCCTCCATTGGGTCTGACCTCTCTCTGTGTCTGGGACGTGCAAGACCTTCTAGCATGCGAAAGCTATATGGTAACGCTATGCCAAGTAGTAATGACTCCAAATAATACAGCGTTGGAAATTAGATGTGGAGAACGGCAGCTCCTTAATTCTATGCAGATTTCTTAGAAGTAAATCATCTCAGTTTTCTTTATTATCATAAATTAATCCAGCCAGCTACGCTGGGAGGAGCTATGCCCCAATGGCCACATTAGGTTAGCACTAGGTTCCCTCTCTGGGCCCTGGGTCTCCTCTATTTCCACGTGTGCTGTGGTGTCTGAATTGGGATTTCCCCAGGAGCCCGTCTTTTTTACCACTTAGCTCGTAAGCATACAGCTCTTCCCTCCTTATCTCTGACCCGCCGTGATGTCAGCTGACCTGGTGGATTAATTTTTAATAGAGATACACGCGATACTTATGTCCAGAGTTCTTTGCGACAAGACACATGGCTGAAATAAAAACCACTGCCCCACATGGGTAGGAAAACACGTTTATTTGTTTTCTGTGGTCCTTCGGGAGGAACTTCCAAGTTGAAGCCTGAAAACTTTTCTGTTTTCTCCTTGAACCGTTTTCTTGCAATATTTCTTACAATATCTTTGTCTGTGTTGTTGCTCTAAAATTACTGGTTAGGATGCAAAACATTTTCCAAACCAGCAATTGGGAGTCCTCAGGACCAAATCTCTCATGTGCCACACTGTTCCGTTTTTGTTTTGTTTTTTTCTCTCTCATTTTTATATGTGAGTGCCAACGATCAAAACATGGGATAGCCTTGTATTTTGAGATCATTTCAAAATAAAACAGGAACAGTTGGTTTTATAGATTCTTTCATAATATTGAATGTATTGTACTGTATATTACCTGTAATTATATAACTCTTTTGAATAGGAGCCTTAAATTATAAGACTGTATAGAATAAAAGTAAAGAGAGAAAAAGGAGATCTATAAACATAGGTGAGAAACTTCACCCCTGTTCTATATGCAGATGAGTGATTAAAAATCCCTTTTTTATTTTGTTAAGGATGAAACTCATAATGGTTTTTCCATTTCTCATTTTGAAATAAATGAATTCCTCTACCCTAACTGTTTGCTTTAAGAGAAAATGTCATCCATAAGTTAGAATTTCTTCAGCTGTGAATTTCATATATACCACTGTTGGCACTAGGAAAATAACACATTTGGTTTTCTTGTTAGTGAAGTGGGTTGGTCAAGAATGGAGCCACAGCCCTAGCCAGTTTGGCTCAGTGCATAGAGCATCAGCCTGAAGACCAAAGGGTCCTGGGTTCGATTCTAGTCAAGGGCACGTACCTCAGTTGCAGGCTCCTTCCCAACTCAGGCCCTGGTCAGAGCTCTTGCAGGAGGCAACCGATGGATATGTTTCTCTCACATCAATGTTTCTGTCTTTTCCTCTCTCTCTCCTACTCTCCCTAAAAAATCAATAGAAAAAAATGTTCTCCAGTGAGAATAAACAAGCAAAATAAACACTTACTAATTAAAAAAAAAAGAAAAAAAAAAGAATGGAGCCAGAAAACTCAGCCATGCTAACCGAAAGGAAATAAGATAGGTGGCTCCATGTGAGCCACAAAGTATCAGATAAGCATAATTACATTCCATGATTAGTAATTTATAGTTAATTCAGCATCACAATATATCTCTTACTGGAGACATGTTTGGTTAATGGTTTACACACACTCATTTTGCAAACAGAGACCACATAGCTGAAAACTTAAATCAAAAATTAACTAGAATACTTTTTAAGAGATACTCTGCTAAGATTCAGACAGTCTAAAAGGCTTCGGGATCTTAGCCTTTTCAAACTACTCGTAAGTGTTGCTGAGTAGAAATGTCAAACCAGCCAGCACACCCCTAAGCCAATATCAACAGCAGACTTTGTTTGCCGCCACCCTCGGTCCGGCTAAGCCACCTTGCCCTCCCCCTGGCGGTTTTGCTCCTTGGCCTTTCTGAAGAGAGGTTATTGTCTGCTTCGTTGCTGTTCCAACCATCTTAACTCTTTCCCTGTCCCAGCTCCATCAATTTTAGGCCTTGCGGATATTAGTGCTGTTTATGACCTATCATGAAAGAAAAGATGCAGTCTGGTCAGCTTAATAGTTCCATTTTCCTTAATACTACATTTTTATTATTTTTTAGGGATTACTTTCCACTCTCCCTCTCTTCCTCTGACCTCTCAGTCCATTTTTTACTTTGACGTTGGCAGCTCTGAGCTGTTCCCATCTGAGCCCTGCCACTGAAGAGGAGCCAGCTGATAGCTTTCGTACAAATGGTGAAACCACGTCTGTGTGTCTCAGCTTCAGCCAAGTAAATGTACCAACAGATCCTCTGCCACCTTTCAAGACTCACTAGGCAAAAGTCTGTCTTCAACACTTGCATTTTTTCCCCAAATATTTATATTATCATCTGAGTTCCCAGATAAGTTGGGTCTCTTTAAATCTTGATAAAACTAGGGACCTCATTCCACATGAGATTAATTTTTTTTTTCAGTTAATGTGCTTATCTCTCTTACCACACAGTAGGGTCTTCAACAGTTTCATACAGGCATCCTTGTTATTGAAGCACCTGGCACGTTCTAAATTGAAGCACTGTCCTAGAGTCAGGAGATTTCGTTTCTAGTCCCAGCTGTTATCATTGATTAGGAATTTGCTCTTAACCTCTTTGGGTTTCAGTTTCCTTATCTGTAATCTGTTGGGTTGAATCAGTGGTTCTCAAAACTGACTGCATTTGGTGTCACTTGTGCAGCTTTTAAGTGTGTGTGTGTGTGTGTGTGTGTGTGTATGTGTGTGTGTATGTGTGTGTGTGTGTGTGTGTCTCTTACATATCTGGGCCCTCATCTAAAAATTCTGTTTAATTGTGTGGTGTGAGGACCTATATGTTAGGAGTTAACTTCTATCAGCCTGTGTGCCCCTAATGTGCAGCCAGTTGAATAATCTCTAGAGTAGATATGGATGAAGTTTCAACAAGCTGTAATGTTCTATGATTATAATATGATCTTTCAAAATAAAATGCTGAGTAGCACTTGCTGAAGATAATTTTGTAGATGTTATAAATACTTTGATAGCTGAAGGAGAAATTGTTCCAAGAGTCAGACTGTGGGAATCCATTCTGTGCCAGAATCTAAAATCATGGCCAAATCCTAGCCTTGTGTAAATCACAGTGATCCACAGATGTATTTTTAAAGCATAACTTTTTTTAATGCCTAGAGTATTAGAAACGAAATACCCCACATCATCTGAGATCTACCTTTAACATATGTTAGATAGGATTTTTTTTTAATAAGGAAAGAAATATATTGAGGTGGATCTTGCAGTTAAGTACAAATGAATGTCACCCTGTTCACTCCCAAAATCGTAAATCGGGATTTTTTGTACTGAGTATGTCTTTTCCTTAAAGATCATCTAAGATAATTTGTACAGATTTGTCCTTTGTAAAGCATTCATCTTTTCTCTCCTTTTAAAAAAATTAATTTGTATATCCTACTTTAACTATATTCTTGAGCTGCTTCTGAAATTACGACTGAAAAGCAGTTGAAACATGCATCTTAAACATGCTAACCCCAACCACAAAGCAGAAGCACAGAAAACAGCTTACCTAAACCTCAGTGGAAGGCACAAGCTCTTAAATCATGGGCTCGCTTACAATCACTGTGATGCCTTAGCTGGACATTAATGAAAGACAATAGCCAAGATGCCAAGGCTCTTCCTCTCTGATGCATTTCTTTTCTGTAAGAACTTCTGGAAAGTTCCCGCCAGTGACTTGCAGCGGCGAGTTGGGACAGACACCATTGCTCCTTTAAGGCTATCCCTAAGGGTAGCCCTAGCAAATTCTCTTTGGAAAGCAAGAGGGGATGGAAATAATAGTCTGGATGGCTCTCAGACTATTGGGTGATTCCGGTTGGGATATAGTGTGTCTAGTCAGAACCTTAAACCTAAAATGAGAAACCATTCTGTGCCTCCTAACTTCATTGCCTCCTAATGCTTTCAGAAAACTTGGCAAACAGTTGTGCTCTACAGAATGATTTGGGCCCAGCTGGCATGGCTCAGTGATTGAGTATCGACCTATGAACCTAGAGGTCATGGTTCGATTCCCGGTCAGGGCACATGCCTGGGTTGTGGGCTTGATCCCCATGGAGGGTGTGCAGGAGGCAGCTGACCAATGATTCTCTCATCACTGATGTTTCTATATCTCTCTTTGTCTCTTCCTCTCTGAAATCAATAAAAATGTGTGTGTGTGGGTGTGTGTGTGTATTTTTTTTAAGAATGATTTTGACCTCTTAACCCTCCTTATTTTCCAGATCCCATGCCTGCTTTGTCCTCCTGGCAGCAGGAGAATGGGGACTCTGACGATGCGCCCCTCTCCCCACCCACCGGCCGTCTCATTCGTCAGCTTCTGGACGAAGATAGCGACCCCATGATCTCTCCCCGGTTCTACAATTATGGGCAGAGTAGGGAATACCTGGACGACACGGAAGTGCCTCCTTCTCCCCCAAACTCCCACTCTTTCATGAGGTAGGTTTCCTTTTGTTGTCCGGCAAACGCATCATCATTAGGACAGTCATGGCGGATGGGCAGTAATCTCTCTTCATTACGTTGTAAGTCTGCGAAGGGATATAGTTAACATTCTCCCTCCCGGGACACAGGCTTCCTCGTGGTTTCTCAGTGGAACTGTGGCCCAGCTGCAACACGCATACTGAATTTCCGCTGGCCCCTCCTTCCCAAAGCTCTCTCACATTTAACTTGCAAGTCCTAACATTGCTAATTATTAATGTGAATCAGAGGAGTTTAGACCCATTTAATAGGTGGGACATAGAGAGCCCAAAGTCACAACATAAATTCGTAGCCCGGTTTATTTTATCAGAGAGCAGGGAGGCGGCTCTCCCCCTCCCCCTCCATGCCCCCTCCTCACCCCCCAGCTCTTCCCAGCAGGCAGTGACTCACTGCTGGGGAGCTGACCCAAGGTGCCCCTCATAGGCAACGGAGCTGCTCTCTGGGGTCCTACGATGACGAGCATGAGGACCTGACACCTGCCCAGCTCACGCGAAGGATTCAGAGCCTTAAAAAGAAGATCCGGAAGTTTGAGGACAGATTCGAAGAAGAGAGGAAGTACAGAGTAAGTGCCTCCTCTCTCTGATGTGACATGCCAACGTGTCAGCAATGCAGGGAAGTGGTAAAGGTTAAGCGAGACATCTAGGGAGTCTCAAAGCAAAAAGGCAACAGAGACTAGCTAGTGAGCTCTCAGACACCTCAAACTTCATGTATCAGCATTTTCGTCACACAAATGTATTCTTATAAACTGGAGGCCCGATGGATGAAAATTCGTGCACGAAGGGCGTCTCTCAGCCCAGCCTGCGCCCTCTCACAGTCCAGGACCCCTAGAGAGACATCCACCTGCCAGGTTAGGCCTGCTCCCCAGGGGAACAGGCCTACGTTGGCAGTCAGTCATCCCTATCTCTGTCACTGAGGTGGGAGAGACTCCCACCACTGCCTCTGTGCTCACAGCTGTTAGTGCAGCTTCTGGCTGAGCAGCGGTGCTCCCCTGTGGGAGCACACTGACCACCAGGGGGCAGCTCCTGCGTTGAGCATCTGTCCCCTGGTGATCAGTTCGAGTCATAGTGACCAGTCGTTCTGGTCATCCTGCCATTAGGGTCAATTTGCATATTACTTTTTTACTGTATAGGATAACTTGAACCCTTCAGTTTACGTTCTGTAAACTTACCAGTGAGCCAGAATGGGAAAAATCATTAAATGGTGTCTTTTGTTTGGCTACAACTTAATTCAAGATTACCTTCTAAAATTTCATTAGTACTTTCCTCATTCTACTCTAAGCTCTTGTTATTTCCCCCAAGAAGATCAAAAAGGCATTTTTCAAAGTGGTTGCAAGGTGAAATATCATACACTCCTTTGCTTTCTATTCTGTTAGCCTATAAGTGATGGAAACAGAGCCATCCATGGGCCTTATACAAGTCCGTGACCATAAATATTCAGCATTTGACCTCTGAGGAATTCTTTAAAAGTATCAAAAATAACCAGATGTAAAGAAGGATGCTGGAATTAAGCTTGTGAAGTTTGCCCTGCTTGGTCCTGGTTAATTTCTTATTCCAATGAGACTCATGTTTCCTTCCTGCTTAAAACAAACTGATCATCAAACACTTCTTTTTCCTGCTCCAATTCCAAGACCTTCACCATAGTTTTCCTTTTCTCAGCCCTCCCACAGCGACAAAGCAGCAAATCCTGAGGTTCTGAAGTGGACAAACGACCTTGCCAAATTCCGGAAACAGCTAAAAGGTAGGTAAAGCTCTAGACCTATGGCGTGATTTCTATAAAACAATCCAGGTACAGAACCTCATGCCTTCTGCCATTGCTAAATATGCCAGAAAGAGACCTAGCTTGTTTGGCTCAGTGGCTAGAGCATCGGCCTGCGGACTGAAGGGTTCCAGGTTCGATTGTCGTCAAGGGCCTAGGTTGCAGGCTCGATCCCCCAGTAGGTGGCTGCTGATCAACAATTCTCTCTCATCATTGATGTTTCTATCTCTTTCCCCCTCTCTCTTCCTCTCTGAAATCAATTTAAAAAAAATTTTTTTAAATAAAATATGCCAGAAAGACAAGTTCCTTAAGGCTGCTTCCCAGTGCTCTCAGAAATCAGGGGACACCGCCCTAGCTGGTTTGGCTTATTGGATAGAGCGTTGGCCTGCGGACTGAAGGGTCACAGGTTTGATTCTGGTCAAGGGCGTATACCTTGGTTGTGGGCACATCCCCAGTGGGGGATGTGCAGGGCACAGCTGATCAATGTTTCTAACTCTATCTCTCTCCCTTCCTCTCTATAAAAAATGAACAATATATATATATATATATATATATATATATATATATATATAATTTTTTTTTAAGAAAGAAATTAGGAGACACCTTCTCCATGTCTTCCCATGGTCTTAACCACAGGGTACCCCAGATTTGCTAAGATTCGAATTCTGTAGCATTTCTTCATTTTCCCAAATCGCTAATAAAACGATGATGGTTTCAATTCAATACTCATTAAGTATCTGTTTAATCCAAGGCTTTATTTGCTGTGGTATTAGAAGACGTAGACACAGAAATGAGTATGAAAAGGATGGCCCCTGTCCCTTAAGGAGCTTGGTGTCTTTAGGAGACAGACATATAACAACTAAATACAATACAAAATAAAAAATAATTCCAAAATGAGGGACATGAGTCACACACAAAAAGTTGGCCAGCGGTTGGGCACTGGATCCGTAAGCACCTTTAAACACTAAGGCAGTAGTGTAGGAGAGCACCTGCCCCATTCTGAGAACAGCAGCGGTTGGTGCGGCTAAAGCACAGATATTCAATAGAAGACCTAGAGCTTCCTCAGGAATGAAGGTTAGGGAAGCTTTCCAGATCGCCCAGGAAGACATCATCCTTTTCTCTGGTTTGTATATAATAACCTTGGGGTTTCAACTAAAGTTATAATTATATACTTTCTGGCCGGGGTGTGTGGGGGGCGAGGAGAGAGAGAGAGACAGGGCTAAGTAGTTATTAACATCACAGACATCAACTCTCATATATCTCCACGCCCAATTTTTTTTCAACCAGAGTCAAAACTAAAGATATCTGAAGAGGACCTAACCCCCAGGCTCCGGCAGCGAAGCAACACACTCCCCAGGAGTTTTGGTTCCCAACTGGAGAGAGAAGATGAGAAGAAGCAAGAGGTGATAGAAAAAGCCATCAAGCCCAACATGGAAGCCACGCTGGACTCCATCCAGCGGAAGCTGCAGGAGAAGCGGGCGGAGAGCAGCCGTCCTGAGGACATTAAGGTGCAGTGATTCGGGGAAGCCCCCGAGCTGAATGCTCACCCTAAGCAGTTAGGGGGCGACCAGGCCTTCAGGGGGACAATCGGGGGGCAATCAGGCCAGCAAGCTGTCCCACCCCCTCGTCTTCCACACTCTTAGATGTTTAGAGAAGCTGATGACACAACCGCAAGTGCTTTAACTGTAGCTAATTTGGTTTTTGACTTCAAATTAGAAGCAGAAAGCTCCAATGTACAGATGGCAGAATGAGCTTATTTAGGTTCCTACACCATTTGGTGACCCTTAGGTAGAAGAACTTCAGGAGCGTTTGAGGCATCCTCACCCCTTTGGGAGTGTGTCATCTGTCACTGGAGACATCGCTTGGGCCATTCCGTGAAGCCTCATGTGCCTCACCGCCTTGCTTGGTTCAGGACTCAACATGCCTCTGCTGCCACAAGGAAGTTGATGGCGTTTCTGTTGTGCTATCTTATTTCTATCAAGAGGTCAGGAATAGCTAATTCCTAAGTGAGCTTGGATAGAGCAAGGAGGAGCTGTTGTGTGAGGATTCTTTTTTTCTCCTCCTTTTTTTTTTTAATTGTTGAACTGAAGAAGAAGAAGAACAAGAAGTTGGAATACTCACACACGTTTCCCCTGCTCATTGACCTCTCCTTGTGTTTGAACAGGATATGACCAAAGACCAGATCGCTAATGAGAAAGTGGCCCTGCAGAAAGCTCTGCTGCATTATGAAAGCATCCACGGACGGCCGGTATGTGTGTGCCTGGACTTCTCTTTCTGGCCGGGCTAGATCCTCTGGCTTTAGACATGGATCTTCTGTGCTTGGTCTTTTGCAAATGAGGTTCCCTGCTGTTGAGGTTCCCTCTGTTTTCACCGGAACCAAGCTTTCCGAAGGCTAAACCTGTGATAAGAGTTTCACTGCCTTGTATTAATAGATGCTGAATTTAATTGTGTTCCGAAGAAAAATTAGTTTGCAACTCAAATGTAGTCCATGGCGTCCTGCTTCAAGAGGAGAAGGTGGGGAGGTGAGGGGAGGTATGAACTGGTGCACAGAGCCTTAGGGTGAGGAAGCTTCACTGTCCCGGGGTCTGCCTCAAGGAGCTGATACTGGCTCCGGGCATTCTTATCCATAAATCAATGGGCTAAACTGGAATCATCTGCCCTCAAAGTTGCTCTCTCTGCAGAGCAGTTGCAACCAGGGTTTGTCCATGGAGAAGTTGCAGCTGCCACCCAGAACCAAAAAGTGTGAGGCATCCAAAGCACGGCTCTGCCTTTTCGTAACAAGGAGCATGTGAGGCCGTGTGTTCTTCAGCGCGAGTTCACTTTAGTCCAGGGAAGACAGGAGTGTGCTAGGCTTCTCTCTTCCTTAGGGAACCTGTGGTCAGGTGTCCATGTCAGTTACTCTTAGTAACCTGTTCAGTATGTCATCAAGAACCCAATAAAATCACCGAAGCCGATTTGGCTCAGTGGTAGAGCGTTGGTCTGCAGACTGAAAGGTCCCAGGTTTGATTCCGGTCAAGGGCATGTACCTTAGTTGCGGGCACATCCCTGGTAGGGGGTGTGCAAGAGGCAGCTGTTCGATATTTCTCTCTCATCAACGTTTCTAGCTCTCTATCTCTCTCTCTTTCTCTCTGTAAAAAAATCAACAAAATATATTAAAAAAAAAAAAAAAAGAACCCAGTAAAATCAACTCTTATTTGAAAAAGCATCTATACTACTAAAAATGTAATATGCTAATTAGAACAAGTCGACCAGACATCTTCCAGAAGTCCGACTTCCTTCTTGATAGTTAGGTGGTGACCAGTCTATCAGGAGAGTACTTAGGGAGGGGACCAGGCCGGCAGGGGGAAGTTAGGGTCAACCAGGCCAGCAGGGGGACATTTATGGGGGGAGAGGTTGTCAGGCTAGCGGGGAAGCAGTTAGGGGGTGACCAGGCCCACAGGGGGGTGGGGCAGTTAGGGACAACCAGGCTGGTAGAATGTCAGTTAGGGGGCGACCAGGCCCTCAGGGGGGCAGTTGGGGAGCAATCAGGCCAGCAAGCAGAGGCAATTAATGGTGATCAGGTAAACAAGTAGAGTGGTTAAGGGCAATCAGGCAGGCTGGCAGGGAGGGGGGGGGGCACTTAGGGGGTGACCAGGCAGGGAAGGGGGCAATTAGGGGGCGATCAGGCTGGCAGGGGGGCAGTTAGAAGTGACCAGGCTGGCAAGAAGAGGCAGGGGTAATCAAGCTGGCAGGTAGAGTGGTTAGGTGCGATCAGGCAGGTGAGCAGTTAGTAGGCTGCAGTCCCGGATTGCGAGAGTGATGTCCAATTGGCAGTTTAAACTGCAATCAGACATCCCTGGAGGGCTCCAGATTGGAGAAGGTGCAGGCCCAGCTGAGGGACCCTCCCCTGCACAAATTTCATGCACCTGGTCTCTAGTGAAGTTTATGTTCACAGAAGGCTTTTTATATAGCCAAAAAGCATGCATCTCTCTCCCAGTCTCAGCATAGCTATGTAATGGAGTCAGTCTTTTCACCTGAGATAGGTTCTTTTAAGAAAAGAAGCTTCCAGAATAATGCAGTAGAGGTCCGTGAAGGCCGGGACTCAGGGTTTTGTGAAGCCAATCCTCAGCCAGTAGCACAGGCCCTGCCACAGCGTTTGCCCAATAAGCTGTCTGTAAAATGCATCTGCCGTGGTATTTAGGTTCCGAATTTATCAGGTTTAGGTTTGAGAAAGAAGCTGGGGCTGCTGGTGATTGATTTTGCTGGCCTGCCCTGCCGTGGAAAAACACTGGCGCTCTGGGATGGCGGTCATGTTTCCAGCCAGGTTGTGTGTGTGTTCTTTTTCCAAGCCAAGTTTTGTTTTGGATCTTTAAAAGCCACTGAATCACATAGTACCTGCACCAGAGCTCACATACATGGTGAATCTTTGTCCTTCTCTTCTGGAGAATTCAGAAACTGAACCGCTAGCGGTGGGCTCGAACCTCTGAGTGCCTTGTCCTGGCCACCAGACAGTCCCTAGGCGAAGGAGGCAAGACTTGTGTGTGTTTTACTTCTTTTCATTGCATGGTTTCATGTTGTGACATGGACTAAAGACTTCCTTCCCTAGGCCCCTGAGATCTCTCTGCTGCATTCTAAACTTAACCTTCAGCCAGTTTAGAAGGTTGGAGTTGGGGGTGGGCGGACGTGGCACCTGTTGCTGAGTTGCTCGGAGGCTCAGCAGACCTAGATTCAGAGCCCAGCCCCGCTGAGACCAGCTCTGAGACCGGCTGCAGAGGTAACTTCTCATAGCCTAGGGGCCCTGTCTGTGTAGCCGGCTGTCTGCAGACAAAGGGACGTGACAGGCACACATTTACCTGTAGGGTGTCTGGCCCTGAGGAAGTTGGGCAGAGTGGCTCTGCTGGGGAGAGAGGGCATTGCCCAGTAAAAGAAAGCTTTCACTTCTGTTACAATTACCTCTCCGCACCCTGTGGCCTACTTCTTAGTGACTGAGTGAGGAGAAAGAGTGCACATTTTTAGCACTCTTATAATTGGCAATGTGAACTATTAAGTTTTTTTGTTTGTTTTTTATTTTATTTTATTTTGTTTTTTAATATATTTTATTGATTTTTTTTTTTAGAGAGTGGAAGAGAGGGATAGAGAGTTAGAAACATCGACCAGCTGCCTCCTGCACACCCTCTACTGGGGATGTGCCTGCAACCAAGGTACATGCCCTTGATCGGAATCGAACCTAGGACCTTTTAGTCTGCAGGCTGACGCTCTATCCACTGAGCCAGACTGGTTTCGGCTGAAATACTAGTGTTGGGTCCTGTCTTTCTGTTTCCCTTTCTTTCATCATTCTTTCTGATGAAGGAACAACACAGTTCTGGGTCACATTCTAGCATCTCCTGAGGCAGGGAGCCTGTGCTCTGGGAGTTCGTCACTTATTCCTGGTCGAGGGTCTAGCTCTCTGCCTCGCTCTGGAACACGATGCTCCGACCTCAGGGGAGGCAGAGTCCATTTGATGCCTGGCCAGTCCACAAATCAGAGGGAACTTTTCATACTCAGATCCGTGGTGTTGCCATGGACCCTGGACTGTAAATAATATTTGGGCAATGCTCTTTAAAAAAAAAAAAATGCAGGTACTCCCAGTGCTGAACTATCATTCCAAACTCTAGGATTTTTTAGAAAAGCAGGTGCTCCTAGTTCATGGGTGTTTGCTGAGTCTGCAGATTCTGATTTACTAGTAAAGGGACAATAACTCCAAGTCACAGGCCAAAATAATTACCTGCCAATTCTATACATTGTAAAGAAGGCTGTTTGCTTAAACGGGGCACTCTGTAGGCTGACAGATATGTAACAAAACACACTCGTTCACCCACTGACACCATATTCCCTACAAATTATTACGAAAGTGGCCCTTTCAGTATTGAAGGATCTCAGGTAGGCGATGTCACAGAAGGAAGCACAGCAGATGGCTGCAGCTCCCTGCTCTGTTTTATGCGTAGACCCCTGCTTGGGGACAGGGGACAGGGAGAGAACGGGTCGCTTGCCCAGAGCTCCTGGGTTCTGGAGTCTCTTCCTCATCAGAATATGTTAATCTTATATTTTAAAACCTTGGGACACCAAACATCATGTTCAAAATTAAATGCACATTCTATATATACGTACTCTCCTTTGGTGTTTGGGATTATCTGATCTTTGCACAATTCGCCTACTGTCTTCACCTGACAGTGAGGAAGAGAGAGTTGTCATTTTCCGATCCATGGGCCAAGAATGCAGCAGTCATAAGAATCCAACTCATGTCTTCTCCTGCTCGCAGCTTTATGACTCAGAAATACCCGTGCACTCATTCAGAGGCCTATTCTTGGTCAGTAGGGGAATCCCTGATGACTGATGACTCAAGAGTAAGAGTGTCGGCCTCCGAATGGTTTTCCCATGGTCCACTTCACATCCGCCTGGCCTTTATTGACAGTCCAGCCAAAGTCCTGCTTTGTTTATCTGACTCTCAGTTGGCTTTGGCTCTGCTCACAAATCCAGCACAGACAATCACATGTCTAATAATATTCTAAGGCTGCTTAACAGCTCGCTATGATGTGCACTGACCACCAGGGGGCAGGCGTTTCAACCATTGATTTCCAGAGTGATCTGTAGCTAAGTGGTTATTTTGAATAATGTTGTCAGCTTAAATAACTTTTGTGAGAGGAGGTGGCTCTTGATCTGAGTTCTGCCAAACCAACTGTACTGTGAGTCACCTGTACTTTCTCCAGGCCCAGAGAGTGCTGGGACAGCTGGTAGCCTGGCTTCTCAGTGCTCTTGTTCTTGCTCTGCAGGTCACCAAGAACGAGCGTCAGGTCATGAAGCCTCTCTACGACAGGTACCGGCTGGTCAAACAGATCCTGTCCCGAGCCAACACCGTGCCCATCATGGTGAGTCCACCACCTCTCTGCTGTGGGTGACCTGGTTGGACAGGCCCTGGCTAATCGGAGGGCCCTAGCCTGCCTTCTCATTAAAGAATAGGCTTTAAGGGTTGAATGTGCCATTAATACCGATGGCCTGCAAGCTTGAGGAATGAAGAATTTGTCAAAGACTTCTGAGACTACATTGGTAAAAAAGTAAAAAATAAAAAAAAAAAGAGCAAATCTGAAGATGATAGATTTTTTTTTTCTTTTGAGAGTCATGATTTGGCCAAGAATATCCCCACAACATGTGCTGGACCAACTCCCCCCCCACACACACACCCTGCCCGAGACTGAGCACCAGGGGGGCAGGGCTGTGCTTTCTCAGGCCTCTCTGCACCGGAGTGCCTCTGGTCCCAGGGCCGTCTGTGAACAGCCTGCTCTCCCCTCTGAGAGGGATACAGGGCTCCTGCCCAGGGAGAAGGCTGGACAGCGGGCCTTCTCTCTCTGGAGGACTCCCACGTGGAGAAGTGTGAGGCGGGAAGGGGGCGAGGCCAGTGACTGCAGGTGCTCTGACGCCACCATCCGTGGGCTTGGCTGCTTTTGCCTCTGAGTTTTGGTTTTGTCTGGAGAGGGAGCAGCAGCTCTGGGAGAGCCTTTCGGACTGGCCAGCCCCTCCCACCCCACCCCGCAGTCTGGGCTTTCCCCCCTCCCGCTGTGAGTGCCCCCTGAGCCCATGTCCCCCTCCTGGGGACTCGGTTGCCTCTGTTTCACTTGCCTCTGCCCAGGCACCTGAAGGCTTCCTCTGCCGTCTCTCCTGGGCTTTTGAATCAGCAAACACCGCCTCCTGGTGTGGAAATGCATACTCCCCGGCTGCTGCGCTCCCATTCCTGCCGCAGCCTCCTGTGCGGTTCCAGGCCCCTTCCTCCCTTCACCCCCCTCCCCCCCGCTGGGGTCTTCGTGCCTTTTCACAGGGCACCTGCTCCCGGGAGTAAGGGCGGGCCCAGAGGCTGCAGGCTGGTGTGTTTGCAGGAAGCACCTTTTCTAGCAATGTCCTGCAGAAGGATTTACTAGCTCACCAACCCAGGGATCAAATCTAAGGAATCGGTTTCATTCTTCAGTTAGGAACCCTCAGTGTCTGAATAGGGTGAGTGGACAGTGGGGACGTCAGAGAACCTTTGTGTCACGTCAGGAGCTGACGCTATTCTAGGTGAAGCTGCTAAGTGCAGGTGGGATGGGGGGGAGGCAGGTGGGTGGTCTGCTCGGGTTTCCTCTGAGCCTTTGGTTAAGGTACTTGAGCGCTGTTCTTGCTCTCCTGGGAGCTCCTCGGTTTGGGGAGGGGGGCGCATGGGGCTCTGGAGGGAAGAAGCAACTTGGAAGGAACGTTGGCTGTTGCTGGGTTTCCGGGGGATTTGTGGTGGGAAGGAGTTAGAGCACATCCTTTAAAGGCAGCAATGATGTTCTCCAATTCCATCCAGGTCGCTGCAAATGATACGAATTCCTTCTTTTTTTATGGCAGCATAGTATTCCATTGTGTAGATGTACCGTAGTTTTTTTATCCAGTCATCATGCATATAAGTATAACCAATGAACACAAAACTCTGGCAAGGGAGGGCATATATGGGAGTGGGGGGAAGCAATGGTAAGATTTGTAAACATATAATAATTTAATTTAAAAAAAAAAAAAGGTAGCAATGAATCCTGGTGAGGCTGAGGAGATGGAGAGCTGGCAGGAAAGGGAAGGGGTTCGCAATGTAACCTCCTTGTCTACGCCTGTCGCAGGGTTCCCCTTCCAGCAAGCGGAGGAGCCCTTTGCTGCAGCCAATCATCGAGGGCGAAACTGCTTTCTTCTTCAAGGAGTCAAAGGTGAGGACCTCCAGCTGCTAACCTCCTGCCAAACCCGCCTCCGCTCCGCCCTGTCTCCTGCGAATCAATGGAAGGGGTTGTGGTTGGGCCTCCGGTGATGGGTTCCGGTGCATGCCCTCAGCATCTGCACAGAGCCCGCTTGGAGCAATCCTTTTCTCCTTTGTATCCTGTAATAGCCGATTTTCTTAGTTTCATTTCATTCCCCCACTTTTTATTGATGTTTTGTTTGTTGTTTTGTTTTCAGGGATGATTCTTTCGTTTGCACATTGTTTTTTATTTTGGGTTTTCCCCCTACCTGGAGAATAGTTTTTCTATATTTCAAAATTGTATTACGTTAGCTCACTGCATAACTTTCTTTAAAATCTCATTTACTGAGTTTTTAGAAAAACCAAAATTAGCGAAGACAGTATGTGTAGCATGCAATAAAACAAATGAGCATTTTATAGGCGAATATCACAGTTGCCGATGGCAGATTTGCTGGTTCAGTTCTACCCACTCTTTCTCCTTCTCCCCTCTCCCCTGGCACACTGTGTCCTTGGGCCTAATTTTATAATCTCTCCCTAATCAGGGGATGTCGTGCTGGGGCCAGCAGTCGGTAGGACATATGTTCAGATTTACTTCCCCAGTAATTATGGATTTGGACAACTAATCCTTGTTCTCAGGGGCTCCCTTTGAGGAGTGGGAGGTCCCATCTGTGCTCAGAGACCGGTGTCCCTGTAAGGACCTCAGTGGCCCGCATCCGGATCAGCCTCTTGCATGTCCTTGTTTCTAGACAAGTGAACACACCGGTTGGCCCTATATAGGGATCTAGAGATGAAAAGTCAATGCCAACCTTTTTCTTTTTTCTTTCTTTTTAATCAGTGAATGTTAAAGTTGGAAGGGGAAGTAAGACTCAAAGCAAAAGTGAGTTTTAAGAGTTTCACTTGTCCTGTTTCTGTCAAAGTTCCCAGCCCGGGATGGTCATGTATTTACAGTCCTTAGGAATTATTATTTCAGAATATGGGGCCCCGTTCCCACAAAGGGATGCCAATTGAGAACAGCTCCCTTACCTAATTCTCACCTTTATAAGTCGAGGTAAGGTACCAGAGGTTGCATGAGTCTCCCTTTTATCTACTCTGTTTCTTTTCTTATCTTTTAAGGGTCTTAAATGTTTCACACACCTCTTGAGGCAATGATTGTGCTGAATGTTCATATTATTTTAGACGTAATGTGTTTTATGAAAATTCTCTGTGAAATTTGACTATGCTCCATTGTACTTTAAAAATTAGACTATTTTCTTACCACAAGACTAGAAAGAAGACACATTTGGTCTAGTTGGTAATTTCACACAAGAATTAAGTCACTCTCATTGAAGAAATTTGGACAATTACATGTGCAAAAATTAATGTATTTCTCTGAGAATCATGTGATAGAACTGTTACTAGATTAAAATGTGTTCTTCAACACAACCAAACTATGACAGGTAATAAGTGCCTCGTTAAACAATTGGAAGTCATACTAATGATGCTCTTCTTAAAAAGAGGACATTCTTTCAGATCTTACTGTTTATCTTGGTTAATTTTTTTCACAAGTATATTTTGGCCATGGCCCTTCTGCCGGGCCACATGGTAGTCAGAATTTCAGATAATTTTGCAATGATTGCGTTGCTTTTGTAAATAGTGCTGTCTTTTGTTCCAACTGGCCAGCCTTGTTAGCATGTATCCTGATTGTACTAATTCTTGACAATTCTGAAACAATTTAGAATTGGGTATGTGTCCCGATAAGAAGATTGTATATAAGCGTTGTTGTTGTTTTTTAAACCATCCCGTGTTTTCATGTTTCCGGGTAGAAACCAATGTGTGTGAAATAGAGCCAGCTCAAGCTCTGAGGCCCTAAGCCTTCCAGCCCCAAGTCCTAGAGGCCATCTCGTCAGTTCTCCTGTCCAACACAAAACTCTCCTCTAAAACTTAGCTGACAGAATGGAGACACTGACCCTGAGCAGAGAGTCCTCCCAGCCTGACCAGCTTGCAGCAGCAGGGAGAGGAAGCTCACTCATTGCTGGGCTAAACATCAATAGTAACTGAAACTTGTCCTGTCTTGTAATTACTTATAAAATACATGTATTAGATAATTTTAGAATGTACCATAAGCTTAATAACTATACAGTAATACTGTTAGTGACTATAATAAGAAGTCGCCTCCATAGTTATTATAGATGTGTCACTTTCTACTTAGGAGGCTTGCCTGTGCCCTCTGGAACAACATGGATCACGCACGGCACTTCTTTTGTGAGAGCACTTCCTAGTTAGCCCCCTCCCTGCCCTCTCCCACCCACACCTGTGAACATTTCTCCAAGGGTTCTTACTGTTTCTCATATGACATGGGTGCCAGATCTGCCGGCAGCCTGGTGACTCTACTCTATACACACATCAGCCTATCTGTATCTTTCACACACACATCAGTCTGTCTCCTTCACACACACATCAGTCTGTCTCCTTCACACACACATCAGTCTGTCTCCTTCACACACACATCTGTCTGTCTCCTTCACACACACATCAGTCTGTATCCTTCACACACATCAGTCTATCTGTATTCTTCCTAAAAGCTGATGCCCAGGGCTACACACCCTTCTAGATATGGTTTAACCAGCAAGGCAGAGGGTGCAGGACTAGTCCGGACCTCTGTGGGGATGACCTCAATGGGCCCTTCGGTTCCACACGTCTGTGACGGTGTGACTGTCACCGTATCAGGAAGGTACTGTAATAGCAGGCTGTCTCGACTTCAGCATTGGACACATTTGGGGCCAGATAACCTTGTGTGGGAGGCTGTCCTCTCCTCACTAAACGCCAATAGTGCACTACAACCTCCACCCCCCGCCCCCATACCAGTCCCCATCCCCATGTGACCACTATAAATGTCTCCAGACGTTTCCAAGGGCCTCTAGGGGGTAAGATCAGCCCAATAGAGTGGCCCCGGTGGAGGCCTGCCTTGCAGTTGATTTATGCAACCCCAGCTTCCTTCCCACGGACTGCGTATTGTCTGTGTGTCCAGCTTTTCCCCTCACCTGATTGCAGGATCTTGAATTTTTCCAGTTAGCTACTTTTGCCCTTCTATTCCAGCCTTACGAAAAGGACTATAGAGTTTGTATTCCAACATACCAGATGTCCCCACCTGCCTTGCGTTACCTACACATTTTGTAAATAGCCTTTGGGTCTTTATCCCGGGACGGGAAATGCTGAGTCAGGCAGAGTCAGGTAAAGAGCCTGCTCCAGGCTCTCTCTCCAGAATCACGTCACCACTGTGTCATCACTCTCCACACTTGCACAACCAGCTCACTCCGTTCTTCACTGAAATCCAGACATTACACCAATCCCATCAAGTAAGGGGAGATGGTTAGTTCCCATGATTTGTTTGTAAGGGGCCAGTGCTAATCACTGTCAATCTCTGCCTATCTATTGCTCATAGATTACCTGTGTATTGATTCCTTCTAACTGCTCCTGCCTCCTGAGGTAGATTTGCTGCTTTAACTGGAACAACTGATGTTGTACTTCCTTTTGCTCATGAAGCTGTACTCCTAAGCCAAACTCATTAGTCAACAGAGCCAAATATCAACAGTACAACGATTTAAATTTCTTTTGAGAGCCAAATTTTTTTCAACTTAAACTTCTTCTAACGTCACTTCAAACAGACTCGCCCAGGCCGTGGTATTTTGTGGAAGAGCCACACTCAAGAGGCCAAAGAGCCACATGTGGCTTGCGAGCCGCAGTTTGCCGACCACAGTCCTAACCACCTGTTTCCTTTTTTAAGATGTTAGGATGTTTTCTTCTGGTCTGATTGTATATTTTGGCAGTAAATTACTTCTTTTTAAAATCTTTTTTTCACTGTGCTATACACGAAACTAATACAAAATAATATTTGAATGTAAACTGTAATTTTAAAAAATTGTGTTTTTTTCAGATTATGATATAAGTTCTTACCTGTGCTTAACATAGCTTTAAAATTGACACTAAGAAATGCTAATATGACTGTATTGTTTTTCTAAGTGCATTATCATCAAGACAGACAGAGGATATGATACTTTTCTTAGAATCTTGGATGCCGAAAAATACAGTCATGATTCTTGGACATGCCTTGAAAGAACTTAAGAGGTTTAGGATTCAAATCGTGGAAGATAAATGTTTTGATCTCAAACGCACCCTAAGATTTTGTGTACCAGGCAACCACAAATACATTATAATCTCAGTCCTTAAACAGAAAGGCTATATTGTTCCATTTCTAAGAATGTTCATCGCTTAATAAACAATATGTCCTGAGATATGCAAGTAATAGAATTCTGAAAACTGGTTGCCAGTGGTGGGCTTTATCCTATATTGTATTAGAATCTTCAGATTATTTTGCTTTATTTGATTGAGGATATAAGGTATGATGGTTGTTCCTTCCTGCCTCAGCCTTAAAATGTTAAATATGGTGTTCACTCATTTTTATAGTGTTTTTTTTCCCTATGGAGTGGCTGTGTTTAGTATGTGTTACTGGCCGTGTACATATAGCTGTTCGATAACACATACGTAAGGGTACGTAGGTGCTGCTAAGGGTAGATATAGAAGAAATGTTATGGCGTCTGGATAGGTCAGGCTGGTCAGTGATGCTTGTGATGAAAGAGTGCCGGGAAAAGTAACCAGACTTTGGCTGGGTTGCTGTGTGTCTCCAGGAGGAAGAGGAAGGTTCAGAAGATGACGCCAACGCCAAGCCAGACTTCACGGTCACTCTGAACACCGAGTTCAGCGCTCATTGCTTCCTCGACCAGTTTGAAGAAGGCGCCGATGGGTTTATTTCCCCGATGGATGACAAAATGCCATCGAAATGCAGCCAGGACTCCGGGCTTTCAAACCTGCATGCTGCTTCGATGTATGTCGTTTTGGGGGTAGTGGTCAGACATTTGGGTGAAGATAACTTTCCTAACTCTTATTCTAGTCTTTATACTGACATAGGCCGACAAAACGCAAGTGACTCCCCAGGGGTGGGGGGTCTGTGTGGCTAAAAGAGTGGCTTTTTATTTTTAATTTCTGGCTCCGTTTCTGCAGATGCTTTATCCTGTGTTATTTGAGTGAGCATCTGAGATCTTACTTACACAACCGGGCAGGCTCTCTATACAGCACTGTGTAGCTCTGTCCTCCCCAGCCCATCCTGCAGCTCTCACTGCGCACATAAGTCCTCTCTCTCTCAAACCAAAATGTGACAAAGCACCCTGGGGTTTTACAGGAGCAGGAGCCAGAGCTGTGGCCCGTTTTTCAGGGCATAGAAAGCAGCCATTCCCACCGGCCCTCTGCTCCTCAATAGTGTTTATGCCGTGTGCTTCCCCCCGTGTCCACGACCTTCGCCCCCTCCCTCCTGCCACCGAGTTGCACATTCATTGCATTTATGACATTTCAGATTCAACTCAATTTTCTTAATTTTTTTTTCCCCCTCTCAGACCAGAACTCTTGGAACAGCTTCAGGAAATGAGAGAAGAAAAGAAGAGGATTCGAAAGAAACTTCGTGAATTTGAGGACAATTTCTTCAGACAAAATGGAAGGTAGCACATGTGCTTCCCTCCCCAACCCCTGCCTACGCGTCCTCTTCCTTTCCTGTCGGGCCTGCGGGTGTCTCCGCATCTGTCTCCCTGTAACCCAGGCCCCTTTGGGGGTGGGCCGGGAGGCGGTGAGGTTCGTGTGGCCCTTAAGGAAGCAGTGCTCCTTAGGGAGAGCCAAGGCCCCCCACAGACAGACCAGCCTTTACAAAGCAAACCTGTCACATCACATAGTCATCTAACATGAGCTGCTGGGAGCCACGTTTCCAGTTGGCAGCACTGGCTTATTTTTGTGTTTTGTTCTTAATAAACTAGAAGGAGCCGAAACCGGTTTGGCTCAATGGATAGAGCGTCAGCTTGGGGACTGAAAGGTCCCAGGTTCAATTCCGGTCAAGGGCATGTACCTTAGTTGCGGGCACATCCCCAGTAGGGGGTGTGCAAGAGGCAGCTGATCAATGACTCTCTCCCATCGATGTTTCTAACTCTCTATCTCTCTCCCTTCCTCTCTATACAAAATCAATAAAATATATTTTTTTTAAAAAAAAAGAAAGAAAGAAACTAGAAGGAGAAATAGGGAACGGAGGATTGGCTGGCTTAAAGCACATTTTAAAAGTAAAATGTGAAGGAAAAATATACAAGGAGCAGTTCCCCCGCCTGATCAACAGGGCGCTTCTCTCCAGCGAGTTTCGGGCCTGCGGGATCCGTAGGTGGCGCCGAGCTGAGGCTCCGTCCTCCCTGTGCCCGGGACCGCGCACAGCGGGCCCGGCTCTGGCTCAGGCAGGGGAGGGATCTGCGTCTCTGACACTGGAGTGAAGCTTCATCCTTTGGAATTGATTTTATTTTCATCCAGATTATCTGAACAGAATAGATGGTGTTTCTCATGAAGTCCCCTTTCAGGCTTCTCCAAAGTGTTGGGAAGTGAAAGGACCACAAAAATGAACTCTGTCCTTTAGGACGTGTTGTGTTCTGTCTATTCAGGTCACTGTATACGTACGTTTATGTTCAGGATTTGCCCTGTAATGACTTTCTTGAGATTTATCAATGTTATACCTAAATATTTGCTTTTCTTCCTCCGTGTGTCGCAGGGTATTTAGGAAACATAGGTGAGCAGATTAAAGAAACCATCTCCGAAGTAATGCTAATACCCAAAGTCAAGCCAGGATTCATGTTCTGATGTGTTTCTTTCCAATCTTCTCTCTAGGCACATTTTGGTTTGTCTGTTTCCTTCCCCCACCCCCCCCCCCATATAATTGTAGTCACATTTTGTGCAAATATCCATGAGGCACTAACTACATATAATTGTGTAAACTTCCCAAGTAACCAGGAAGTATAGTGGATGGGAACAAACGATCATCGTGGAAGTTTAGAACTCTCAGGGACTTCCGATGTCATAAAATCCGGTGCCTTCCTTTTGTGACTGAGGAGATGGAAGCCCCTCAGAGGGCCCAGCGGCGGGGGCTCTGCCCACACCCTGTTCCGTCACCGCCCTGTGCCATGACGCCATCTAGAGCCATTTCCCTGAACAAGGCGGGCCAGCGATGAGTACGTTTATTTTTAGTTCATTGAACAAAGTAGAATAAGGTCCATGTCACTGCCTTTCCCGTGTTCTCTAATAAAAAGAAAAGGGAGCCTGGTGTTTGAACGCCTGGCACGTGCATGCCCAGGTGAATGAGAAGCGGGCGGCACCGCCCGGGGCTGGGAGCTGTGGCTGTGCCGCGGACCGACTCCTCCGCCCGCGCTCAGCCTGTGTGCCTTGTGGGTGAGGGGGTGTGCAAGAGGCAGCTGATCGATGACTCTCTCCCATCGATGTTTCTAACTCTCTACCTCTCTCCCTTCCTCTCTATACAAAATCAATAAGATATATTTTTTAAAAAAAGAAAGAAAGAAACTAGAAGGAGAAATAGGGAACGGAGGATTGGCTGGCTTGGATATTTTTCCTTCCATTTTGGGTGAGGGCTATATCACACCCGGGAGGCAGAGCCTCAGCACAGGCCTGGCCGTGCAAATACGCTCCCCGGGAATACTTGTGCACATAAGAGAATGCATACAGAATTACTCGTCAACGGTAAAGGCTTTTTAGTATTACACGACTCAACTGTTGAATTCCAAGACTTAACCTATAATAATAAAAGCCTCACCTGCTAATTAGACTGAACAGCTGAACGAGCTTCTGGGCAACCTTCCAAAGACCAGGGCAGCCGCCATGGCTGCAAAGGCCAAGCCCCTTGCACGAATTGCGAGCATCGGGCCTCTAGTATTAAAATAATTAGTTAAAAACAAACGCATAAATTATGGATGTACCAATTGCTAATTGGGAATGTAATGGTTTATTCGATGAACTATATAAAAGTGAGAAAGCATTACATAGAAATAAAACATTTCAGTGTATGGATACCATACATAATACCAGCAGCAGAAAGAGGAGATTTCTTAGTCCTTCGTATCACCCTACAAAATGCCACATTCTTTTTTTTTTTTTAATATATTTTTTTGATTTTTTTTTTACAGAGAGGAAGAGAGAGGGATAGAGAGCTAGAAACATCAATGAGAGAGAAACATCGACCAGCTGCCTCCTGCACACCCCCTACTGGGGATGTGCCCACAACCAATGTACATGCCCTTGACCGGAATCGAACCTGGGACCTTTCAGTCCTCAGACCGACACTCTGTCCACTGAGCCAAACCGGTTTCGGCAAGATACCAGATTCTTGTCCTTCTCTGCTTGTCTAAGCCCAAACCTCAGGCTTGATCCCCGGTGACCTTGGCCACACTGATTCCGGGGGCGGGTGGATAGACTGCACGTTTCCAGGTGCTGATGCTGCACCTGCCGAACAGCGCCCTCCAGGGGTCAGCCACGGGTCCTCAGCCCCCTCTCCTTTGTTCCCATTAGAAGCGTCCAGAAGGAAGACCGCACTCCGATGGCCGAAGAGTACAGCGAGTATAAGCACATCAAGGCGAAACTGAGGCTCCTGGAGGTGCTCATCAGCAAGAGGGACGCCGACTCCAAGCCCCTGTGAGGGGCAGCCCCCTGGAGCAGCGGGGCCGGCGGGCCGGTGAGCCTGCCTCCCCGGCAGGGTCGGGAGCAGCTCCGCAGACACTGGGAGGCCCGGCCGCCTCGGAGCTGGACCTGCACAGCACGGAGCCCTTTGCCCCAGGCCCTGGGCTGGGCTGCAGTCTCCCTCGCCGGCCTCGGAAGCCACCCGCTGGAAGGAGGCCGCGCTGGTCCTGCCCTGGGGCTTCTGTGGGGGAAAGTCAGGATCCCTGCGTCCACGCGCCCTCGGACACCGTGGCGGGAGCTTTTCCCACAGCAGCCGGGATGCATCCCCACTGGAGGCGCCCTCATCCGCAGAGGAGGCGCCCTGCCCTTCCATGGACGACAGCACGAACACTCACTGGGGCGCAGCCCAGCTCAGGCCTTCCTGGAGCGAACTGGCTGGGCAGCTCCCTGTGCGCCCTGGGCCCTGAGAGTGGGCGCCGTGCGTGGGCGCCCTCTGCTGCCTCGGCCCGCGGCGCCTTCCCGCCCCTGTGAGTTGCTCTCCGCTCCCAGGGAGAGGGAAGCTGCGTCTGCAGAGCAGACCCCCCTGGCCTGGCCCTGAGCTGCGAGGCGGCCCCGGCGGCCCAGGAGCCGCGAGGCCTGCGGGACTGGGCCATCGCCGAGGTCCGAGCGAGGAGAGCGGAGCTGGCTGAGGCCCCTTTTAAATCCGGTAGCAGGGTGACGGGCCTAGAGAAGCCTTTCCTGAACAGTGACTGCACTCGCCCGTCTTCAGTGGGAGCCTCAGAGGCGAAGCGAGGCCAGCGGGCTGTACGGGGCTCCCTTGCAGGGCTCGGTATCTTGTGGGCCTTATCCAAATGCAAAGGGCCTTCTTTCATCCTTAGCTGCAGTGCATGAGGAGAGAGAGAGAGAGAGAGAGAGAGAGAGAGAGAGAGAGAGAGAGAGAGAGAGAGGGAGAGAGAGCCCGCGCCCCCGTGTTCTCAGCCACCTGAGTACTTACCAGTTTAATTTTTCTTTAAGTAAACCTGCACTAAAGTCCCCTCCCTCGGGGGTAAATGTAACCCTTGGACCTCAGCCCACGGCAGACTCTGAATCACACTATTTCAAGATCATGTCTGCCGAGAACAGATGATGATGTGTAGCCGGTGTCGATGATCATGTTTTTCAGAGACTGTGTCACGAAGCTGTCTATATTAGACAGCACGGAGGGGCCAGGGGGCTGCGGACACCCAATCATTCATCTCTCCAGTGTGCTGACGCCCCCCGTGATTTGTTGTTTCTCTTTACGCTTTCCTGTCCGCACCAGGGAAAGGGGGTTCTGTCCGGTTCTGTGCGCCCTGGATCCGCTCTGTGCGCGGCGAGTGGGGGGCGGGGGTCCGCACACAGCCGCTGCCGCTGGTCGCCGGGCGGGGGCGCTCCAGCAGCTCTGCCTTTTGAAGACAATGGTACAGGTTGAACAGGACCACCGGACGCTCACTTCTGTGTGGCACCATTGTGTGTATGGTGTGTGTGTTTTAAAAAAGAAGAAATCATAAAACTCCACTGGCCATTTGTCAGTTTCAGAAAATGGGTTCTTGAGAAACTGGTCTGATTGGATTTATAGCCTGAGCGATGTGTCGGAAGCATCCTGGTCTCACCCGCACCCTTAAAGACAGTACCTGACCCTGTAAATGTAAATGCAAAGGAAAGTATAGTTTGGTATTCTCCGCTCTACTGTTTACATCGCAGATGGCTGTAATTTCAAGGAGTTATATTATAAATGAAATGACGCACTTTAGGACGTTTTCTATTTTTGAAATCAGAAAATGAATCGCTCACATGACCAAAAATTGTATTTTTAAGAGAAATACATGAATATATGCCTCGTCCGCCCTTTGTAAATGACTATCTTCTTAAATAAGCTATGATGCAGATCACATCGTGGCCAACTGAGTGTTAAAGCACATCTGTTTGAGTATTGTTTTTGAGAATACTAGCGTGCAAAGGAATTTATAAAGAGGAAATGTTATATAAGTGAGAAGCTTGTAAATGTATCAATCTATTGTTTCTGCCAAAGGTAAATTATGTGAAAGATTTATTCAGGAAACCCCATTCAGATTTGTATGATTCAATAAAAAAAACACCACCAAGTTATAGTAAAATAAATTGTGTGTGGAATGGCGTGTTTTCCTTTGAAAATTCCAATCATCTATATCCTTTGTGGAATGGCACTCAGATTAAAGGGGGTGAGGGGGGAATTGAGCCCTATTTGCACTAGATCCTATCTGAAGTCCTGTCAGTAGGTTCCAACTGCCAGGGATGCTGAGGCGAACCTTGTTTCCACAGCAACCACTTCTGCAGCCCCAAGTCTCAAGGCCCTGGAGGCAGCATCTTAATTGGCTTCACACAGGCTACCCGGGGCTATGTTTTTTCTCTTTGCTCTCCTGGGAATGTGTGTGCTTAGCACTGCGTGCCAACAAAACAAATGTCAAGGGTTACTTATTAACAGCGAGTGAAGGTGAGGCATGAGCGAACTTGATTGCGCAGTTGTAAGAATCAGAGATAGAAGAGGCTTGTAATGTTCACAAGCCTTTGCTTTCATTGTGCTTAGCCTGGAGTAAACACCGAGATGGATGTTTACGGGAAGTACGGACTCATTACTGCTTTCATCTTTGAATCGCTCAGTTCAGATTGCACTTGTCCGTCATGTACGTGCAAGGTTTAGTCTGAAGGGCCTGCTGAGGCATTGTTGAGACAGCTGGGACCATATCTTCTTGAGCTGGTAGAAAGCCGGCCGCGTCTGTGATCTCGGATCCAGAGGGAAATTGTTAGGAGGTGGCACTCGGGGTTAGCAGGGCCAGAGCAGGGATCAGCAGCGTCCCAGCTCTGCAGCCTTTTGCTTTGCCTCATCCTGTGCGCCGGGGCGCAGGGCAGAGCCTGTGGCCGGGCGGCTGCTGCGGTGAGGCGGTCAGAGCCCAGGACGGACGGACGGGGCTGTGCTCGCTCAGACATGTGGCACCGAGGGGTGCCGAGGCCGGCATCTTGGAGCCCGAGAGGGCTGAGCGCTTGTCCCTGTGGTTGAATATTAGGAGGTGAACATTAAGTTTTGTTTTTTTTTATCAGAATCCAAGGGTGGCCCCGGTGCCCATTACTTTGGTTCCTTCTGGGGCTGCCTCGTTCTCGGTAGACAGAATTGGGCCCGAAAACTAGACCTGCTCACAGATTTACAAGGAAAATCTAATTTTTAAATGTGTTGCTACATTTCTTGGTGCTGCTTAATCTGACAGTGAAGATGCCATTTTTCGTAAGGGTTACTCCTTCCTGCTTCTGATGCTGTGTTCATACCTGAGGGCCCTAAACTGAACTGCTCTGTGAGAAGCTGGTTGTGGTCTAAATTCTGTGTGCCTCCAACAGGGGTCTTCCTGGCCCTCGGCCTCCTGGTGCCCCCTCCCGCCCCCCCGCCCCCATTCTTCCCAAGTGCGAGCGGTGGCTTCTGCACCAAGATCCACAGGCACTTCCTCCCTGCTCTTTTCCAGGATCCGTTTGGTAAGTCAATAGGAAGGGGCAGAGCTGCACTAACATGCTGAAGCAGTGTTTCCTCTGAAGCCCAGGTGTTCCCCGAAACCCAGAACATGCTTCCCTCCCCTTTTACTCCCCGCCTGCCTCGTTTTCCCCACCTGCCCCTCAAACGCACCGAAGAGCATATTCTGTCAGGCTGTGAGCACTGGCCCTGCTTCACGGGGGACATGCAGGTAGAAAGCGTTGGAAATCGGGACTGTCCTTTTTGAAACTGGAAGCTGGATGGAAATGTTAGGAACGCTTTTGTACACGACTGTATCTTGCATGAACTTAAATAAGATATTTTGAACCATGAACGTTCTGGCATTTCTGACGGCCTCTGGAACAGGTGACGCACAGCCTGCCGTGGGGTCTGACCTTCCCCTTCGGGGAGGAATCGTGCTGCGCCTGTGAGCTCCTCAGAACCCTCCCGAGGAGTCTCTGTCTGTCTCCCGCGAGGGCCGCAGAAGGCGGGCATGCCTGTAGCCCTAGGTCGGAAAACGGGCTGTGCCATCTGCTCAGCTGCCTTTAGAAGAACGCACAGGCCCTGGCCAGTTTGACTCAGTGGATAGAGTGTCAGCCTGCAACGGAAGGGTCCCCGGTTCGATTCTGGTCAAGGGCACATGCTTGGGTTGTGGGCTCAATTCCCAGTCGGGACATGCAGGAGGCAGCCGATCAATGATTCTGTCTCATCATTGATGTTTCTCTCTCTCCCTTCCTTTCTGAAATCAATAAAAGTAGAGTTGGAAAAAAATTTCATGGACGGGGCTGAAGAGGTGCAGAAACCCAGGTAGTGAGGGGGGGGGGGGGGGGAATGTGTAAGGACATTTGCACAGTCTATTTTTATTTGTGGGTGTTGTTTTTTTTTAAATATACTTTATTGATTTTTCACAGAGAGGAAGAGAGGGATAGAGAGTTAGAAACACCGATGAGAGAGAAACATTGATCAGCTACCTCTTGCACACCCCCTACTGGGGATGTGCCCGAAACCAAGGTACATGCCTTTGATGGGAATTGAACCTGGGACCTTTCAGTCCACAGGCCGACGCTCTATCCACTGAGCCAAACCGGTTTCGGCATTATTTGTGTTTTAAATCCTTATTATTGAAAGTATTGTACGTGTCCCCCCACTTCCCCATTGGCCCCCTTCTAGCTCCCCCCCCCTCCAGGTCTTCAGCACCCTGTTGTCCGTGTCCGTGGTTATGCATATATGCATGCAAGTGCTTTGTGCGTGCTCTGTTCTACCATCAGGGGTGAGTCATTAGCCATTCGTTGCTCTGACGCCATGAGGCTGCCGGACCAGGCCCCCGGGAGAAACGGCCCTGGCAGGTGTGAGGCGGGAGCACTCCACTCACCCTTCGCATCAGCTGTCACGGCCCGGCTCCCTCAGGAGAGCCTGGAGCAGCCGAAGCTCCGAGCCCACCTCACCGAGGCCCGGCGCCTCCGTGGCAGGCAGGCCTGCAGGCGTTCCTTAAACGGCACACGTTA